TCAATCGACCTGCTCGTCTTTTCCTCGCTTGATCAAACGGTCCTGTTCGTCTCCCCCGCTCCTGTCGCGCCTCTCCCTCACGACCAGAAGACCGAACCCCCTCCTTCGCTCGCTCGCTCCTCTTCTGTGATTCGATCGCACCCCTAGCCAAAGCTCCTGCTCGCCTCTTGACTGAACGCCTCCTCTGCGACCGAAACCCCTCATTCCTTCAGCTCGCCCGCTCGAGACTCTTCCACGCTCGACTATCTGCCACGATTGCACCTCACTCCCTCACGACACTCGCGACAGATCCCGCTCGCATCTCTGCATCCGATACACGCATCTCTGCATCTCAACACACGATCTTCCTCGACGACATCTTCCACTGGTAGCTGGCCAACCCACATTTTTTTATCCAGCTAACTGCAAGCTTCCTCCCATTTGCAAAGGTAGGCTTCTTCCCCCTCCTTCGGCACGAGCAGCTTTTCTGAATCTTCTTCTTCTTGGACATCACGGAATGCAATTAAATTTCTCTACTTACCAAGTTACAGAAACTTGTCATTGTTCCAATTCAGACGCATGTGCTTTGCTTCGGCCATACATTTTCTCAGATATTTTATTGTCGTAATTGACTGGTTGTAACTTATGAATTTATTCATGCCTTTTATCAGCATATATATATATCTCAGTTTAAACAACATGAAGTAGGACATACATGTTAACACCCAAACTTTAATTTTTTTTTTACACACACGCCCCATACTTGGAACTCGAATACGTGCATCTGTGACAAATGAATTCTTTCGCTGCATACTACACATTGTTTGGGGAATGTTTAAATGCATCTTCTTGGGGTTGGTTTACATGTTGTTTTGGAAGAAATGTAGGTAGCGTTGAGATGTTTGAAAACTGCTTGGGGGGGCTTGAAAGTGTTGTTCGGTGATTAATAGCTGTCGTTAGTTACTGTAAAAGTGTTGTTCTTTGCTGCGAGAAGCTGTAGGACCGCTGTCCAATAATTCTAGTGGTTGCCCAGTGTCGTAGGAATGTTATAGAGTGTTGTCCAATGTTTCTAGTCGATGCCTAGCGCCGTAGGAAGTTGTAGGACCGTTGTCCAGTGCTTCTATTTGCTACCCAGTGTCGCAGGAAGTCACCTAGTAGCCGTCCACCACGATTTGGGTTCGTAGGAAGCCACGTAGGAGATGTCTCCCACGATTTGGGCTTTGTTTGAAAGCCATATAGTTGTTTCCTACCTCTGTTCAGATTCGTAGGAACCGTGGGATCCTAACCGGTGTCGCTCTAATCAACTTGAACCCCCTCAATGACAACCAAACTGAGACATTGAAACACACATGATAAAACTGTTTGAGCTTTAGACTTGCTTTAGACTTTAGGATTAGACTTTAGGACTGTTACTGCGACGAAAAACTCGGAGCAACTTCGTGGGCAGCATAGCAAGGAGTTTGGAGCGAACTATAGGTGGAAGTGGTCGCCATTCTACAACAGCAAAACAAGTCTACACCAGCTAAACTTTCCTAATTTAAACAACCTATAAGATTTTGAGGTAGCTCGCCTAGAGTGACGTAAAATCTCACTCTCTTTTAGGTCCCTGCACAACTATATTGTGTAGTGTAAGTCCTAACTCGTCTTAGGTTCCGAGGTTGTCGTCCAGAACGACGTAAAACCTCTTATCTCTGCGGGCTATTTACATAACCAGTTATTATGCCAGTTATTGTTATTATGCAAATGTAAGTCCCAAATAATAAAATTGACAGGATTCAACATTCAAAAAAAAATCCTCTCTAAAGCACAGCCACACAGCAGGACAGTTCGAGAGGTCACTGAGGACTCCCCTCAGAATCAGTGACATCCCCTACATTTTACTTCCTTTGGACTCCTGAAAGGAATGTTCTTACTTGAGTCATTCCCATTTGTTTTTCCACGTCTTACCTTGAAAACTTGAACTTTGAATTCTTGAAGACTAGAACCACTGATCATTATTGGGAGTTTTCTCAAGTGATTCCCGTCACTTGAGCTGTAATTAACTATAGGAGTTTGCTTTATAGGGAACTTGGAACCCAGATAAAATAAACTCTATTTAATCTTTGTATTAAATATGGGAATTTGTCGGTCACATATAAAAGGTTCGCAGACAAAATGGATGTCACAAATATCTTAGTTTGCAGGATCGGGTCTATTATCGGGGTCTAGACTTTTCTCTTGGAATGTGTAGTCTTAAGGGTGTCAGGCACGATTATGCAAATTATTGGACTAATGAGATTCATTCGATCTCATTTTCTAAAAAATTAAAACACTACTTTCATAATCTAAACCTTTTACCTTATATATATTTAAATTAAATTTTTCACATCAAAAAAGTTGACCGACACGCGCGTGTACATTAAAAAAAAACAATAAGAGAAAAAAAAATTAAAAGAAAAAAAAGGAGAAAATATGCACCGCTTCACCTCATCATCACCTCGCACATATATAAAATCTAAAGTCACTAAGTACTTATTCTAGTTGTTCCAATTGGGCAGAAAAAACTTGTTATGAGTACCAGTTAAGGTTGTTCCAACGGGGCGAGAAAATCCTGTTATAAATAACCATTCTCATTGTTCCAACTAGACGAGGAAATCCTATTTTGTTCATTTGCAAATATTGCAAGCCTATGTACATCTTGTTAAGTGTGGTGAGTAAAATGAATTTCGATTGTGGAGTCGCACAAGACCAGCCACACATGCTAGGTCTGTAAACAAGCCAAAGCTTGAGCTAGCCAAGGCCTGGCTGATGTTTGGCTCGCCTGAAATTATTTATGTTTGAATTTTGCTTGTGTTCGAAATTGCTCGTGAAAAAAAAATTCATGTTCAACTCGATTTATATATATTTTTTTTTCTTATTCGGCTCAAAATTGGCTTGTTCAAGGATCAACCAATTAAAATTAATATTACTTTTTTTTATTAAGTTACTAAGATATAAGAGAAGCAACAACATAGAGCTCCTAGTGTTAAGAGAGATTAATCAAGTTAATTAAGAAAGTAAAAATTATTTATGAACTCTTAACAAATTAAATGTTTAATAACTTAATAAATATCATAATTAATATTTTATTTTCAATGCTTTTAAATGACAAAAATTGAAGTACTAGCCCTCTAAGTTGGCAAAGCCAGTTTGCATCAAGAATAATACTCTTTATATTTAAACAACAGCCAGCATATAAGTTTTACTGATGTGTGAAGAAAAAATAAAAACTTTAGTTTTCATTACAAGTACATAGAAATAAGGTTCTCGTTTTTTTAGTATTATTTTCTTCGATACCTAATATTATTTTTTTCGTGCTTACATGATATACAAGAAACTATAAAGTGCAAATATTGGAACATGTAATTATTTAATTAATTAAGCCAAAATGAAATGAACATGACCGAACAAATATTTGTTAGTGTTTGGCTCATTTACAAATTAAGCATAAAAATTTATTCATCTTCAGCTAGCTCACATAACGAACAGATTGAACTCAGGCTACTTAACAAGCTGAACACGACCTAATACCGAGCGATGAGCTATTTTGAAAACCCTAAAGCACACCATGTTAGGTATGGTAGTAAGAGCTAGACCCCGATGTAGGCCCCCAAATGGGCATGACACTAGAAGGCTGCTAAAAATCAGACTAATAGAACCCGAGCAAATTGGTAATAATGAACAGTGAAAATGCTATTAAAATTAAAGAAAAGCAAATAAGCACCCGTTCGGATTGTTCAAATCAAGTGGAAAAATATATTTTTAAGTACCTATTTTTGTTGTTCCAACAAGACGGAAAAATCCTGTTTTACTTAATTGCAGGTATTGAAGGCATATGCGTGCCTTGTTAGGCACAAAGGGTAAAATCAAATCCTGATCATGTCCCACGACACCAGTCATACACATATTATTAGATGTAATGTCCCGTTTGAATAACCGGGAGAGAGGAAACGAGTAAACTGAAGGAAAGGAAGCGAGAAGCGATTAGTCAAAGGAGAGAGAGGAATCGAACAGTCAGGAAACCAAATAGGGATAGGCAGCGAGAAGTCAGGAAACCGAAGGTTAATTTTGCCCTATAAACGGATGCGCATGAGGGAGGCAAAGGTTAGATCGACTTACTTGGGAGTCGAACAATGTGCGAAGGAAAGAAGGATAATGTGGGAGGAGGTAATGTCTGTGTCAACCAAAGAAGAAAGCCTCAAGCAGCTTCCATGTCGTGAGAAGGCAGACATCGAGACACTCTCACAACGTCGTCAAGCTTCGAGTGGGCTAGGCGATTCGGGAGCATATAAATGATCAAAACCTACCTTCGAGTGTTGTGGTCGCAATTCGAAATATTTAAGATTCAATTATGTGCATAAAAATTGAACAAACTTTAGATCTAGTGATGGAATCAGGCCATCGGTTGCCCTAAGCCCCATGGAGGGCTTGGCATCATTACCCTCTTGGTTTTTACTATATCACAAGCCTTCATTGGTAAATTTAAACAAGATGTGTTTATAATAATCTTGTCGTTGAGAATGTTGGTCGCCCAATTCTGAGCAGCCTTATGACTCTGGTGGCAGTATCCTACTATCTAAAGCACAAATAGATAGAAAGTTTGAAGTTCCGTTTGCCCATAATAGTAGAACAAAATGCATAGCCACTTACAAAATTTCAAGCAACATGCAATAAATGAGAATTTTTTAAAATATCCTCATGGGCTATTTATTCTTTGCTATTAAGTTATGTTTGATGTTGTATTTTGTTTTCTTATTTATCATCTGACAATTCTTTGTAATTGAAGCCTCGTACTCATTTCATTGACTGGTTTTTTTAAAAAAATTGTGTTGAAAAAAAAAAATTTCAAACCTAATAAGTAAACAAGATGATGAATGGTACCACACAAATGTCCTTCTCTGAAAATAAAACTGGCATAATCAAAAATACACCTAAAAAGTGTAAAAGAAAAAAAAAAAGAACAAGAACACGTTTCAGTATCAATCAGGAAAAAAGTCAATAACCTTGATTTGTCAGCTGAAGCAAAGGCAATATCGGATAAGCCATTAAAAGCTTCAGGCAGAGAAAACTTCAGCTTCCCTTTCTCTAAGACCTACAAAGAAAGGAACTAAGAGATCACAATAAGGCTTTCAGCAAAAAATTGTAATATGAAAATCTATCAAAAAAATTTACATTAAGAAAATAGCTTAGCTTCTAGACTACAATTACTTCTATAAGTGAAATCATTTGAAAGAAAAATTTGTGTCCAGTTTCTTAAATAAATTATCCTGATTTTGAAAATAGTAAAACTGCAAGCATTCATTTGCCCTGAATATGGTAGAAAACATGTTGAAAATCCAAAATAACTGGTAAAATTCAAAATAGAGAGCGAAACACAGTAGTACACAATAATGAAAGAAATAACTTTGCCTGGAAAACAATGCAATTTACTTACTTCAATGGGATCCGTAGATACATAACCAATGTCATAGAGATGAACCATATTATTGCTTCTAGATACACAGCAAATCTGCAGAAGAAAAAGTCAGTACACAAGATAGCATTGTTACCTATTATTGAAAAAACTCTACACAACCGTGACAATGGCTCGACAAAAGAAAGGCTTATAATAAACTATCTCAATAAATGCTTGACCATTCATGGGTATTTATAGAAAAAAGAAACATCAGCATTATGGAAGATAACATGTCAATAGAAAATACATTGAGATAAAAACAACATTCTCTACGCATGATAAAGCTACCACCTTGCATTTAATTGATTTGAGTTTGACTCTTAAACATAAGAACAAGTATGTCAGCTTAGAAAACTTTCCAGCTCAGCAAAAAAAAAAAGATAAAAAATTAATCATATTATACTACAAAACAACTAAAGGGACAACAACAAATAGATGGAGAACGATTCATAAAGAAGGCCGCATATAATTGGAATAAAGTAGATTAAGATGATTATGAAACAAGAGGGGTATCTCATGCAACCTACCACTCAATTCCTATGTGTTTACATATCTAACACTTAAACTACAATTTTTACATACATGCCACCATCCCTATGTATGAAAGATGTATTTCAAATGGTGGTATTTTTTATAAGATATCAATGATTTTGGTGGTATAAATGGAAAAATTAATTTTTAGGTGTTAGATATGTAAATACATAGGAATTAGATGGTATGTATGTGATAGACCCTTTTGAAATTAATTACTCGCAGCCCCAATATCCACTGCTAAAACAAAACAAAAGATAGAAGCCCGAATACAAATTTCAAACCTCGTCTTGATTTGCAGGATTCCAACGAACAGCATCTAATGGCCTAGAAGTACAAATGTGAAGCACACATTTTGTTTTATCTTCACACAAACCTATCAAAAACTAAATGGATGAGCAATCACAGACAATCCTTAGTATCACAGAAACATCAAAAAAAGAAAATTAGAAAAAACTAACTTCATTGTGTCTACTGCAAAGAAGCATTTAAAACATCCACATGAGATAACTTAAAATACATGTTTTAACAACACAACTTGATTTGCAAAAAGAACATGACAAGTTTTCAACATTTTATAAACAAAATGTGCGTATTGGAAAAAGAATTCTGAATTCAGAAACTTAATAGTTGGATATAGTCCTTTCAGAGTAAGCAGACAAAATGGAAAAGAGAATGAAAAAAAAATAAAATAAAATAACCATCAATATGTATCCCCATTTAAGAAATATTAATGAAGCATTATATCAATAACACAGAAAGTTTAGACAAACAGGTAGTAACCATTGCAAGCTTCAAAATTACATGGAGTTATGATCCTACAAAGTTTTTATATTGAATCAATGGTTTGGAAGATTTACTGAAAATTGTCCATGTCTGATTTCCAATTGAAAGTGCCTTGATAAAACTAATTGGGCATGTTCAATTATTTTGGTGAAATGCTGCAGTAAGTATTCAGGGGTAGGGGTTGATATGACATGAAGCAATGCTAGTCATACGGGATCAACTTCATGATCAATTTAACCAACTATAAAAGGTAATTACAATGCGTTTGACTACCATTGACATGATATGATAAGCAATGCCAATCCTTTAGTGAATACAGGGATGCAATGACTTGATCCAAACCAAGATTTACTAGCCAAGATACTGACATACTAAATCAAATGTCGCTTAGTAAAGTCAACGAACAGGGCAAAGGAAGGTGTTTTGATTTTATTTGATTTCATTTCATTTGGACTAAAAACTTAGAGGTTCTATATATGAACCTACTAAAACTTGAGTCTAGAAAATATATAACAATTGCTTAAAACTAGTTCATCTTATGTCTAAGAATAACTAAAGCTAGAAGGGGTCAACAAGACTTAATCCTACATAGATTTACCCGTTCTAAAAGGAAACTCTTAACTCATGTCTGACTATGTTTAACATAGAAAAGTGAAGAATGAATCAATGTTTTTGTTCAATTTATTTGTTAATCAAGCGAGCCGAATATGAATAATTTTTTTGAGCTCTTTATAAATGAGCTGAACGCAAACCAAATTTGTTCGTTCGTGTTTGGCTCATTTGGGCTCAAAATATATAGAAAATAAGATATAAAAGATTTCATTTAGATAAATAAAAAAAATAATATTTAGATTTTAGAAATATAAATAAATAGGAATTGTGTGGTATGCATGTAAATGCCCCTCATATTATATATATACATATATAAATACATGAGAATGGGATGGTATGATGGCATCTATATAAATGGATCCAAAATTTTTCCCAAAATTCCACTCATGGCCACGGCTCAATGGCCCTGTTGTTGCGGTGTTACTTATGTAAATACATAAAAATTGGTGGTATGCATGTAATATCATCCGTATTGCCCCGGGGCCAGGAACTCCTCTTAGTTTTGTCCTACATCGAGACATTGAAGAAAACTTCACAAAGAAGCTACTATAAATATAAAAAAAGGGAAGGAAATCAGAAACGTTTAGCTTTGCACGTTTTAGCGTTTGTAATACTACGACGAGAAAATAATATTTTGGTTCTGTCGGCGTTTAAAAGGGGGGAGTTACGTTTGGTTAGACAGAGAGTATATCATATAAAAATTTGGGGTTAAGATGATAATTTAATATGAATGGAGAATTGAAAAACCCCTAACCCTAATTTATTTTTTAAAAATAATTTATGCATCAAATTAATGTGAAAATAAATCCACATGGTTCTCCTCTGTTCACTGAGCAAGAGGGTATTCTTATTTTATTTTTGTGAATTCTCTACACAAAAATATGAATTTTTGAAGTTTAGGAGTTATTTTCTGAATTTATTAAATATCCTATTTATTTATTCAAACCGCGGGCTG